GTTTGGTGGAGAGAAGAAGCTGGGGGGCGGGCATCCCCCAAGGGCTCAGGCACTCCCTGTCTCATCCTCTGTTTTGTGTATTTGTTTGTTTCCTTCTGCAGATGCCATCATCTTGATTCTGCTGAGGAGGGTCATCCGCCTGGGAGACCTGGACCTGATCGTGGCCGGATTTGCCACCCTGGGTTTCCTGAATTGTGCTGGAGCCATAGATAGGACCTACATCTCCAAGGTGATCACAGCATGTTGTGTCCTCCACAATATTATGGAGAGGAAGAGGGAGGCCTTCCTCCTGAGGTGGGGAGCAGACACCAAGCCTTCCAGCAGTTGCCACCCAACAGGCCCATCAGGCTGGGTTGTGCATCCAGGAGGCTCTGAGGGAGATTTTCGCTCAAGTACCCAAGTAACTCTTCCCAGGGCCTCTATCCTAGGGGCTTCTGGCTGGCAGCCCTATGCCTTCCCACCACAACCCCTCCCTTCGCCCCTTCCCTGACATCAGAATAAAGATACCTGTTTGGTTTTGAAAAAACGAAGTCTGTATTTATCTTTCATTAAAAAAAGGTGGGCAGGGGGAGAGGTGCTCATAACATGGAGGGGGAGGGTGGCAGCTAAATGTGCCACCTCGGGTGCGGTTGAGACCTCAGTGGGGTGGGCAGGAGGCAGGGCTCGAGTGTGGTCAGAGTTGGCAGGGGAGCAGGGAGAGAGGGCATAGGCATCACTTGGGGAGGGAGCACAGGCATTGCATGGGGGAAGATGGAGAGGGAATGGACATGGGGGGGCAGGAGGATGGTAGCAAGGAGCATCAACAGCAGATGGGTGAGCCATCATGTATGATATGATGGCACACATGTTATCGCACCACTGCATGAGCTGGTCCCATGCATGGTTCCATCACTCTGAGTCCTTGTGGATCTTCTGGACCAGGGTCTGCTGCATGTCATGCAGGATGCTGACATGCTGGCATCTGAGGGCTTCCTGGACCCTGGAATGCTTTTGTGTCCCCGGGGTTCTGGCGGCTGGTTCTGGTTGTGTGGCTCGCCCCTCAGTCCTGGCTGGTCCGACTATGGAGAACACAAAGAGGGAGAAGCAGTCATTCATCCATGCACACACTGTCTCTGAGGCCGTGCCCTCCTCTGTGAGCAGTGCCCATCAGTTCTCAGGGAAGAGGAGGGGGATATCCTGGGAGCAAGGCCACGTGTGGTCTGCACAGCGGGTCATGCTGCCCTCTTCCCACCCCGCTTCCCAACCTACAGACAAGCAGTCAAGGGAAGTGTTCGTCTACAGTGGGATCCCCTCATGGATAGCAGAGGTGCCAGGAGCAGCTTGGCCCTCCCTGGGTCTGCACACATATCTGAGGCTTGCAGCACTGCCCAAGGGAGTGGTTGCTGCCTCGTATGAGCAAGAATTCTGGCATGCTGTGTGTGGCACTCCTTGGTGTGTCTGGGGTTGTGCCTGAGCCCTTGTGGCTAGCCTGCTTCCAGCCATAGCAGGTTCTGGAAGTCCCACCCCAGTGGCTGGACTTCTGTAACCTCCCCTGAGCCTGGCAGCAGGATCTCACCCATGCTTAAGGGCTGTCTGCTGTATCCGCATGGCATACACTAAAACTGAACGTGGTTCCATGTGTGAGGACTGCAGCACAATATCCATCCTGAGCAGCCTGAGGGACACTTGAACCCACACCTTCTGTGCCAGCCTCCCCTGCCTTGTGTGCATGACAAACTAAGGCTACATACCTGAAGATCTCTCCCCGGCATCCTACGAGGACTGGGAGATGTCCTGGCTGACAGGAACCGGCTCCTCGGACAGGGTGACAGTGTCCGTATCCTCCTCCTCCTCCTTCTCCTCCTTCTCTTCCGCTGTGACCTCCAGCTGGGCAATGATGGGGGTTTGGAGGCCGAAGTCCACCATGATGGGTGGGGAAGACATTTTCCCACCCCTCAGGATCTGGTGCAGCTCCTGGTAATAGGGGCAGGTGTGGGGTCCTGCCCCTGAGTGTGATCTGCGCTCTCAGGCCCTGCCATACCCCTGGTGGAGCTCATTAACATTACTCTAGACCTGTTCCAAGGTCGGGGGGGAGGGGCTGCACTCTACCAGGGACTCGGCCATGCACTCCAAAAAAACTGGCATTGTGCTGCTTGGAGCAGAGATCCTGCAATGTCTCTTCCTTGCACCACAGATCAAGGAGGGACAGGATCTCTGCTCCAGACCAGGAGGGTGCCCTCCTCTTGGTCCCCCTGGATGAGTCCTGGGACCCCTGGGGCTGCTCCCTGCGAGGGCCAGTGAGGTGTAGAGGGGCTTGTGGCTCTGCCATTGGTGCCAAGGCCTGAGGTGCTGCTCTCAGGCTGCCTTCCTGCCACAAGGTTTGTCCAGGGTGACTATGACTTTAACAGGAGACAGGAACTATAGAGTTCTTATTAATTTGGATGGAGTGGCCACCAGGGCACCTGTTTTATTTCGTGGAGGCCTCTTCTTTCGAAAAAAATCCTCCTCCCCATCCTCACATATCTTTTTCCAAAAGACCTCTTTCAGAAAAAGGCTTCTTCCTCATAGAAAGAGGATTACCAATGCCAGAAAAACCCTTCTGTTCTTTCAATTTACTTTCAAAAGAATGTGATTGCACTGTGGACGTAACTCATGTTTTGTCAGAAAAACAGTTATTTTTCCAACAAAACTCTGCAGTGTACACATACAGAGGAAGGAAGGAAGGAAGGAAGGAAGGAAGGAAGGAAGGAAGGAAGGAAGGAAGGAAGGAAGGAAGGGTTTGATCAGGAATTGGATCAGATGGCGAACCAGAAGGCCAGCTTAGAGGGCAATGTTCTCACAAAACATGAGGGGCAAAGCAAACTTGCATATTTGAACAGGTGAGAGGAAAAGTCTAGAAAGGAAGGGATGTTGTTTGTGTCTTGGGTTGACTGCAAAACACTTTGGTTGGGCAGTGAAGAGCCAGTGGTTGCAGGAAGCAGTTTCCATAGTAAGCAACTGGAGCTGCTCGAAGTCACGCATCAGAGAAGTTGAGACTGCTCTGCATAAGTTCATAATTCAGTCATAACTAGGTACCTATTTTTAGATAATTTTGCATTACTTTGGTCAATGATAATGCTGTTGAGAGTGGTCCTCCACCAGCTGTGTGTCTGACAACAGTTCTTATGCTACCAACTGGGAGCCTGACAAATGTAGACATGTTAACTACTTGAAAATTGCATTTAAACACGTATTTATCCCATAATCTAGAAAGCTATAGATAATACACATTTTAAGGGTTAAAAAATCAATTTATACCAGCAGTTTAAAGAAATGAATGGAATGAAGGAAAGAGATGCTATGATAGTGTAACCCACACACCTAGGGTATGTCTAGACTACATGGCTCCGTGGACAGAAAGATAGAAAATATGGCAAAAGACCAGCTTGGCTTAACAAGGAAAACTTGCATGATCTCAAAATAAAAAAGGAGTCATATAAAAAATGGAAACTAGGACAAATAACAAAGGATGAATATAGGCAAGCAACATGGGAATGCAGGGGCAAGATTAGAAAGGCAAAGGCACAAAATGAGATCAAACTAGCTACAGGCATAAAGGGAAACAAGAAGACCTTTTATAAATACATTAAAAGCAAGAGGAAGACCAAGGACAGGGTAGGCCCACTGCTTAGTGAGGAGGGAGAAGCAGTAACAGGAAACTTGGAAATGGCGGAGATGCTCAATGACTTCTTTGTTTCGGTCTTCACCGAGAAGTCTGGAGGTGTGCCTAACATAGTGAATACAAGCAGAGAGAGGGTAAGTTTAGAAGATAGGATACACAAAGAACAAGTTAAAAATCACGTAGGAAAGTTAGATGTCAGCAAGTCACCAGGTCCTGATGAAATGCATCCCAGGATACTCAAGGAGCTGATAGAGGAGGTACCTGAGCCTTTAGCTATGATCTTTGAAAAATCATGGCAGACAGGGGAGATTCCAGAAGACTGGAAAAGGGCAAATATTGTGCCCATCTATAAAAAGGGGAATAAGAACAACCCAGGAAACTACAGACCGGTCAGTTTAACGTCTGTCCCAGGGAAGATAATGGAGCAGGTAATTAAGGAAATCATATGCAAACACTTGGAAGGTAATAAAGTGATAGGGAATAGCCAGCATGGGTTTGTGAAGAACAAGTCATGCCAAACTAATCTGATAGCTTTCTTTGATAAGATAACGAGCCTTGTGGATAAGGGAGAAGCGGTGGATGTCATATACCTAGACTTTAGTAAGGCATTTGATACGGTCTCGCATGATATTCTTATTGATAAACTAGGCAAATATAACTTAGATAGGGCCACGATAAGGTGGGTGCATAATTGGCTGGATAACCGTAGTCAGAGAGTTGTTGTTAACGGTTCTAAATCCTGCTGGAAAGGGATAACAAGTGGAGTTCCGCAAGGGTCTGTTTTGGGACCCGTACTGTTCAATATCTTCATCAATGATGTAGATATTGGGATAGAGAGTACGCTTATTAAGTTTGCAGATGATACCAAACTGGGTGGGGTTGCAACTTCTTTGGAGGATAGGGACATAATTCAAAATGACCTTAGCAAGTTAGAGAAATGGTCAGAGGTAAACAGGATGAGGTTTAATAAAGAGAAATGCAAAGTGCTCCACTTAGGAAGGAACAATCAGTTCCATACATACAAGATGGGAAGCGACTGTCTAGGAAGGAGCATGGCAGAAAGGGATCTAGGGGTCATAGTGGACCACAAGTTGAATATGAGTCAACAGTGTGATGCTGTTGCAAAAAAAGCAAATATGATTCTAGGTTGTATCAACAGGTGTGTTGTAAGCAAAACTCGTGAAGTCATTCTGCCGCTCTACTCTGCACTAGTTAGGCCTCAGCTGGAGTACTGTGTCCAGTTCTGGGCGCCACATTTCAAGAAAGATGTGGAGAAATTGGAAAGGGTACAGAGAAGAGCAACAAGAATGATTAAAGGTTTAGAGAACATGACCTATGAAGCCAGGCTTCATGAACTGGGCTTGTTTAGTTTGGAAAAAAGAAGATTAAGGGGGGACATGATAGCGGTTTTCAAATATCTAAAAGGGTGTCACAAGGAGGAAGGAGAAAATTTGTTCCTCTTGGTTTCTGAGGACAGGACAAGGAGTAATGGGCTTAAAGTGCAGCAGGGGAGGTTTAGATTGGACATTAGGAAAAAATTCCTAACTGTCAGGGTGGTCAAATATTGGAATAAATTGCCAAGGGAGGTGGTGGAATCTCCCTCTCTGGAGATATTTAAGAACAGGTTAGATAGAGATGAGTTTACTAGACATAGGAAAATGAAGTGTGATTTAAATAATCGCTGCTTCATTTACATCAAAATGGTCACCACGCTGTGCCGATCAGCTGTTTGGCGGCACAGCAGGTCAGTCTGGATGCACCGCGGTTGACAAGGGAAGCCTTTGTCGACCGCTCCGGTATGCCTCGTGAAATGAGGTTTACCAGAGTGGTCGACAAAGGCTTCCCTTGACCAACACGATGCATCCTGACTGCCCCACTGTGCCGCCAAACAGCTGATCGGCACAGCGGAGTGGCCATTTTGATGTAAATGAAGCGGCAATTATTTAAGTCACCGCTTCATTTTCCTATGTCTAGTAAACTCATCTACATGGCTCCGTCCACATAGGCATGTAGTCTAGACATACCGATAGTGTGGTTACTTAAGAATGCAAGTGGTACCTAGACCACAGCAAGAGTTAAGATCAAGAGACCTCTATAGCATGGGTTGGGAGCCACCTGGCTTTTAGATCAGAGGGTAGAGGCTCCTATACTCAGCTCCAGAGGTCCCAGGTTCAAAACCGACCGGTGGTTGTTACAAGAGCTCCCATGAAGTATCAATGCTGGAGAGGAAGTAATATGATTAAAAAGTAATGATCACATATAGAGAGCTCTTAATCTTCAAAGCACTTTGCAAACTTTAAGCTCTCCATAATACTTCTGAGCCAGTGCAGCATGTGAGGTTGGGAGCAGTTGAAGAGTTTGAAGAATGATGGACTGAGACATTATGATTGTATAAAGCATAATGACTCTAGGATGCTCAGGGATGGTGCAATAGGAATGGTAGAGATGAAAAACCGAATAGCAACCTCTGCTATTCCTTTCCAAAAGGTAGAGGGTGCTCTTAATGCACTGCTGCCTTACTGGGATAAACTGGTAAGGTAAAGAGAAAAAAAGAGGAGAAGAGACCTATCACCTATAGTTCTCAAAGGGACTAAGCAGACTCATCACTGTTGCCTATTGTGTGGAGATGCTAGAGTATGAGGTGCACAGTATATGGATAGGATTGTTCCCTAATTTGTCTATAACTGCATAATCTCCATGTTGTCTTCATGAGGTAAGTCAATCTTTCAATAGATCTGAAAGGGATTAGATTCAGATTCTATACCCTTTACAATCCATTGAGAAAGAATTTGGGTATAAAAAGCTACACAAATACTAAAAAAGTACAATGCCAGTGTTACTGCTAATCTCTAATAAAAAAATCTTACATTAGATAAAAGTTTAATTATCATTAACATTTGTTATCCATACATATCAATTGCCATCTTTATGTAATGAGCTCATTAATGATGTTTAAGATGGGGTAAAAGTATATTAACTACATACACAGAGGATATCAAGTTGAAAAGTGTTGCACTGACAGTTAAGTAGGAGCCTAGAAATGAGTCCAGGTGTGCTTCTCTCATGACTTGCTGACATTTCTGCACACACATCTGGAGTTCAGGGAGCTCTAGCTGCTTGATAGTTGGGGCTTGTGGATCCCAATTTTCCAAGTCATTTAAATTGGCATATAAAGCAATATAAAGACCTAGACTCTTTTAAAGTGCTGTCTTAATTTCCCCACTCCTTCACTCCCCAGCACTATTTAGAATGTACAAGATTACAAAACTGACTGAAGGTATGTCTACACTTGCCCCACAGTTCAAACTAGGGAGGCAAATGAAGCATACCAAAGTTGCTAATGAAGCACGGGATTAAATATCCCGTGCTTCATTAGCATATTTGCAGCTGGTCGCCATTTTAAAATGCCAGTTGCCCGATTTAACTTGCCACATGTAGACACAGTAGTTGGATCAGAAACCCTTCTCTCAATTTAACTGTTACTCCTTGTGCAAAGAGTAACAGTTAAATCGAAGGAAGGGTTTCTGTTCAAACTACCACGTCTACATGCAGCAAGTTAAATCAGGCGACCGGCATTTTAAAATGCCAACTGGCTGCGAATATGCTAATGAAGCATGGGATATTTAAATCCCGCGCTTCATTAGCAACTTTGGTATGCTTCATTTGCCTCCCTAGTTTGAACGAGGGGGCAAGTGTAAACATACCCTGAGTGGGTAGATTTGATAGAAACCTATAGAAAAAGAGAGCATAGGGGACAATCCTGTCTTGACATAAGAAACTCCACATCCCATGATAGTCCTATAGTCACTCTCTGATTTTTGCAGTTTAGAATTTTTAAATTAGAACAAAATTCATAATGGGAAACAGACCTTATCCTCATCATTCTCTGTTGGCTTGCTTTTTCTGTCGGTATGTATAAACAAGGCTGGTGGGCAGGAGGTTCTATTTGATTCTTTGCCTTTATCTGTAAGGGAAAATATATATATATTAAAATTCACAAAAACATATTTCTCATGACTCACTGAGATATCTATTAATTTTCTATCACTTGGGAGCTGTGAGTTTAGCTGTAAAGACTAAGTCCCCCTTCACGAATAAGCTGGATGACAAAACAAAATGTTCCATTATTTAAAATAAATGATTCTGGTGTCTGGTAGAATTGACCTACTCAAGTCTCCAAGATATGCAGCCACGGCATCAGGAGTTGCTTGAATCCTCTATGAAGTGTTGGGGTGAAGTTGAATTAACAATACTAGGTCAGGGATAGAACGGCAAACTCACAGCACTGGAAAATTTAGGACCTCAATAAGCATTCATAAACCAGCTCACACTATGTATTACTCAATTCATGTCAAAATGGTTGTTCTAGAACAAAGAATATGAAAAATTCCATAGAGATCTAAATATTCTTCTACCTACCACAAAACTACCTTCTCATGCACAAAGAAAGGAGTGAATACATTACATTACAAAATGTTGACATAAATATATACATTCAAACACACTATAACTTGCCCATTATTTATTGAACTATATTATATTGTATTTATTTATTTATTATGACCTTGAGCAGGTTACTGCGGATTATGTAGTGCTGGGAAGAAGGATCAAAGAATTCGAAGAGCAAGTGGTGTTCTCGTCTATCCTCCCTGTTGAAGGGAAAGGTCAGGGTAGGGATTGTGAAATTGAGGAAGTAAATGTATGGTTGCTCAGGTGGTGTTGGAGAGAGGGCTTTGGTTTCTTCAATCATGGGACTTTGTTCCAGGCACAAGGATTGTTAGGAGGAGATGGGATCCATCTAACCAAGGGTATGTCTACACTACCACCCTAATTCGAACTAGGGTGGTAATGTAGGCATACCGCACTTGCAAATGAAGCCCGGGATTTGAATTTCCCAGGCTTCATTTGCATAAGCCGGCGGGCACCATTTTTAAATGCCGGCTTGTTCGAACCCCGTGCCGCGCGGCTACACGCGGCACGGGCTAGATAGTTTGGACTAGCAGACAACCTGGGAAACAGTGATCATGAGATGGTAGATTTCAGGATCCTGACCAAAGGAAGAAAACAGAGTAGTAAAATACACACCCTGGACTTCAGAAAAGCAGATTTTGACTCCCTCAGAGACCTGATTGGGAGAAACCCATGGGATGCTAACATGAAGGGGAAAAGAGTCTAGAAGAGCTGGCAGTATTTTAAAGAAGCCTTATTGAAGGCACAGGAAGAAACCATCCTGATGTGCAGCAAGAGAAGCAAATATGGTTGGAGAACGGATTGGCTTACCGGGGAAATCCTTGGTGAACTTAAGCACAAAAAGGAAGCTTACAAGAAGTGGAAACCTGGACAGATGACACAGATGACTTGTGTATAAATGTATAGCTCAAGAATGCAGGGGTCAAGCCCGGGCTTCATTAGCAAGTGCGGTATGCATACATTACCCCGCTAGTTCGAACTAGCGGGGTAGTGTAGACATACCCAGGGTGATCAGAGAGGCAGTGGGGCCCTTACTGGATGAAGGAGGTAACCTAGTGACAGATGATTGGGGAAAGCTGAAGTACTCAATGCTTTCTTTGCCTCTGTCTTCACAGACAAGGTCAGCTCCCAGACAAATGGACTAGGTGACACAATATGGGAAGAAGGTGAACAGCCCTTGCAGGGGAAAGAACAAATTAGGAACTATTTAGAAAAGCTAAACATACACAAATCCATGGGTCCAGATTTAATGCATCTGAGGGTATTGAGGGAGTTGGCAAATGTCATTGAGGAGCCTTTGGCCGTTATCTTTGAAAAGTCGTGGAGATCGGGAGAGATCCCAGATGATTGGAAAAAAGCAAATGTAATGCCCATCTTTAAAAAAGGGAAGAAGGACAATCCAGGGAACTATAGACCAGTCAGTGTTACGTCAGACCCCGGAAAAATCAGGGAGGGGATCATCAAGGAATCCATTTTGAGGCACTTAGAAGAGGAGAAAGTGATCAGGAATAGTCAGCATGTATTCACGAAGGGAAAGTCATGCCTGACCAATCTTATTAGCTTCTATGATGAGGTAACTGGCTCTGTGGATATGGGAAAGTCAATGAATGTGATATACCTTGAGTTTAGCAAAGATTTTGATATGGTCTCCCACAATATTTTTGCCAGCAAGTTAAGGGAATATGGATTGGATAAATGGACTGTAAGATTGATAGATAGCTGGCTACAAGGTTGGGCCCAGTGTGTAGTGATCAACGGCTTCATGTCAGGTTTCCAGTCGGTTTCTAGCAGAGTGCCCCAAGGATCGGTTCTAGAACCAGTGTTATTCAACATCTTTATTAATGACCTCACCCTCAGCAAGTTTGTGAATGACACTAAGCTAGGGAGAGAGAGAGATTTGTTGGAGGGCAGGGATAGGGTCCAGAATGACCTAGACAAATTGGAGGATTGGGCCAAAAGAAATCTGCTAAGGTTCAACAAGGACAAGTGTAGAGTCCTGCACTTGGGACGGAAGAATCCCAAGCACTGTTACAGGCTTGGGATCAACTGGTTAAGTAGAAGTTCTGCAGAAAAGGACCTGGGCATTACAGTGGACGAGAAGCTGAATATGAATCAACAGTGTGCCCTTATAGCCAAGAAGGCTAATGGCATATTAGGTTGCATTAAGAGGAGTATTGCCAGCAGATCCAAAGACGTGATTATTCCCCTTTATTCCGCTCTGGTAAGGCAACATCTGGAGTACTGTGTCGAGTTCTGGGCCCCCAACTACAGGAAGGATGTGGACGCATTAGAGAGGGTCAAGTAGAGGATGACCAAAATGATTGGGGGCTGTAGCATATGACCTATGAGGAGAGGCTGAGGGATTTGGGTTTGTTAGTCTGCAGAAGAGAAGAGTGAGGGTAGATTTGATAGCAGCCTTTATCTTCCTGAAGGGAGGTTCCACAGAGGCTGGAGAAAGGCTGTTCACAGTTGTGACGGATGGTAGAACAAGGAGAAATGGTCTCAAGTTACATTGGGAGAGGTCTAGGTTGGTTATTAGGAAAAATATTTCAGTAGGAGGGTGGTGAAGCACTGGAATAGGTTACCTAGGGAAGTAGTGGAATCTCCATTCCTAGTGGTTTTTAAGTCTCGGCTTGACAAAGCCCTGGCTGAGTTGATTTAATTGGGATTGGTCCTGCCTTGGGCAGGGGGCTGGACTTGATGATCTTCTGAGGTCTCCTCCAGCTCTATGATTCTATTGTATTTATAGTCTCCATCCTGCTCCTACTGAAGACAATGGCAGAAGCATGATCAGTGTTTGTATTGGTACATCTACACAGCAGTGTTATTTCGGAATAACTGATGATAACATCATTCCAAAATAATGTACTGCGCATCTACACAGCAAGCTTGTTAGTTTGAAATAAATGTGAAATAATGGGCTTCTTACTCCAACTTCTGTAAATCTTATTATATGAGGAGTAAGGGAAGTCGGAGGAAGAGTGCTCTATTTCAAAATAAGTACTGTGTAGATGTGCCCAAGTTCGAAATAAACTATTTCAAATTAAGCTATGCAATTGACATAGCTCAAGTTGCATAGCTTATTTTGGCTTTAGCCCTGCTGTTCAGACATGCCCTAAATGACCTTAACTACTTGGACCATAAGAAAAACTGGAAAAATGTTTGGAAATTCATTTTCTCCAAAGTTTGTTGGCTACTGTCTCCTTAGTACAATGAAAGTGTTTTAAGTAAACCCTTAAGTGCCAGATTGCAGTCTGGCTGCTTAACAGATGTGGTCTAATAAATAGAGAATAAAAATTCATTCAAAAAGCTTAGGGATATCTGAAAGATATCCTTTAAGATAGGAGGCTCATAATTAGTTTGGTCTTCAGTACTATACATTTCATTCTACTTAGTGTGTGCAGCTTATGTTTCTAAACAATTATACCTATGCAAAGTGATTGCATGGGTATAATTGATTAATAATATTGGGTGTAAAATAATGCCATATCAGAATAGCAGTATCTTAAACTCACCTTGTATCAGGGCAAACAACAACACAAGGAGCTGGACAGTGGAAAATTATCCCGATATGTGTGATAAAGCGTGTTTAAAATGAAGGTTAGGTTATTTCCTACAATACTATTTTGCCACTCAGTGAAGACAATGAATTTTCACTAGCAAGTAGGAGAGTGGACAGCCAGGTATCTATACACACACTACCATATCACCCCATTTACGGACAAATTTAGCTCCAGAAAAGATAAGATCTGAACTTTAAATGTCTCTCCTCATTCTTCTTTCCCTGATAACTCTATTTATTGATTTCTGCATCATTAACTTGCACTCAGTAATCACACTGTATTTGATATAAGTCTCTTCTTACAGTAGATTTAACCTTTGGAAACCCAATTGACTTAATTGGATTTACATCAGTATGAGTGAGTGAGTGGAGATTCATACCCTCCTTGTATAGTATTACAAAATCTGGATACAGGATTCTCTCTTCTTACTACAAATTTTTAGTAGAGACATTTGAGGATCCAAGATGACTCTCACCATCATTAGAGAAATATGGAGCTTCAAGCTAAAGGCTCAGCTCTCATATTATGTTATCACTGTTCTAAAGTTAACACCTCTGAAATCTTTCTTAAAGAAGATTTGACATTTCTTCAGAATTGTTTCACCAAATCATTCCTGTTTATTAGCTCAGCTCCACGATATCCTACCATTTATTTGATACTCTTTTCAGAGTTGGCCTCAGAGCCAACTTCTGGTCATTTGTCTTCTCTTTATTTTGATTAGCACAAGAGGTTAAGTCCTCTACCAATGAAATCCCAGACATTCACCTTTTTATCTGAAACTGCAGAAACAATGGACAACAAAATGCTTTTTTTCCTAAATTCCTGCCCTACTAATGGGGATTTGTGCTTTAATGTGCCTGCTGAAATAGATGGAGAAATGTTCTTTTGTATAAGGTACTTCCTTTAACGCACATTGATTTTGCAACAACTT